AAATAAAAATTCTATCTAACCCAAGGAACTTGAAGGTACTAGACGAACACTCTTTAGGGTAAAACTTTGATTTCTTTTTCCTACATGGGTGTGGTTGAAAGAAAATCTTTGTTCCAGGAAGACTTTGCCTTTGCTAAACAAATGTGCGATTTATCCAGTCTTTGTTCACTCTTAGATTTATCTGCTTATCTGCTAGACCTCTTATGAATCAGAAAGGGGAAAATGACTTGCGTTTATTGGCAGTGCTTGTTTCTGGGGTAGCTGTGCCTGTGAACTGCGGAAGGAAGAAAGGGGCAGCAAGGAATGTCAGTAAGAATTCTTGAAGGGCGGTTTGGCTTATTTGTTTCCCGTCGTACCATTACAAAATAAAACATGTCAGCCACTGCACGGTGGGTATTTTTATCACTGTATCAAGAGGAAGTTAATGTAGAGGCTTAAGAAGTAGAGTGCTGGTTGTTCTTGCAGAAGACTCAGGTTCAAATCCCAGTACCCACATAGCAGCTAGCAACCACCCATAACTCCAGTTCCAAGGGATCCGACGCCCTCTTCTGTCCTCCAAGGGCATTGCATGACACAGGTGCACTTACGTGCATGCAGGCATAACATTCATACACATAAAATAAAAATAAAAATCGGAAGCAGTTAGAAGATCATAGAACATTAGACCTACAAGTTTCTCCAAAGTCTGGCCCACAAAGGTGGTATCCCAAACAGGGATACCACATTTCCTGTTACAGTGACCACACTTTGTCTTGAGGAAAAGAAACTACCTCTTTAGTAAAACCCATGAATCTGCCTCAGTTCCAAAGAGGAGACTCAGAAGTGCTCGCTCCTGAGTCTTCAGTCCAGCTGACCTGTCGGGTCCCTTCCAGGTCTTGCTCTTCCACTGCATCCCCTCTCTCTTCTCACCTGGTAGACTTTGTTAACTTCCAGGAGAGTCCTGGGGTCTCCTGGGCTTTCTATGGATTGATAAATATGAAAAGCAAATCCTCTGGGAATCTCTAATTACAAGGTTGGAAATTTGCCTCTGTCTAAACAATGCCAAAATTCTGGTCCAAATGAGTGGTTCTGTTCATAACCACCAAGTTAACGTAATTTCTATTTTAGCATCACCAAAGGCTGCTGCATTAGTCCAGATACCAGCTGTGCCTCTCTGGTGTAGGACGACCTCACTGAGGGGCAGGAGTATTAGGCTGGCATAACATAAGATTAAGGCTCTTTCCCAGCACAAAGATTAAGAGGTTGATACATGAAAAGTGCTTCAGTGGTATGACTGCGAGATCACAGGCCTCATATCACAAGCTAACTGACCCCTAGTCTAGTAAATCTGGCTTCTCTCTGGAAGAGAAGTAGCAGGTTTTACTTAGTCAAAAACTGCTCTCCTTGCCTGTTATATACTAGGGCTACTACTTGAAGGATTTTGTCACAATGAAAAGCCCATCAAGCTGGAGTTAATTTTCAGTTAGAGCCTCCTTCCATCTTTCCTAAACTCAGAGAGAGCCTGGTCTAGTCACCCAGGTGTCTCAAATCCAGTCTTCTCACCTCTAAAGTGGAGACTATTCACAGATAGCGAAGATGCCTAGAGGGTCCTCGTGAAGAATGAAAGATATATTATATGAAAGATTTTTGTAAATTTTAGTGTTCTACTATCCATACTAGAAATCGCATTAACCCTTGCTGTGCCCTCTGAGCAGGTGAGCAATGCCTCAGTCCTTTGTATGGTGAAGGTTTTGTTTGTTTTCTGTCTTCTGTGATACCTGCAGCAAGGAAACTGAGTCCTGTGTTTTATTTGGGTACTAGTAGGTTTGAAGAGAAAGAAAAAATTTTTAAATGTGAATCTGACAGTTATATATATATATATATATTTATATATGTTACTATATAAGTGTGTTTATGTATACATATTATAAATAAAATATACATATATAAATATAGATGTTTGTATATATAACTTTAATACATAATTTATTGTATAAAATATTATA